GTTCACTTCTGTGTCATCTCAGCATTTTTCCTCTCATGGCTCGCAAATTTTAAGCTCCTTCTCTTCGCTTTTGATCAAGAACCTTTAAGCCCACTTCCTTCCAACTTCTCCCGTTTCTTCTGCTTCTCTTGTTTCCCCATAAAAACCAATCAAAACCCTTCTTCGAATCGAACCTACAACAAACCTATGCCAAAATGGGTTCTTGCTTGTAAAGTGTTGGTCCTTTCCTTCATTTTAAATCTCTACGGTAAAAATTACCATAACAGTTTACCTCGTTTCGCTTTCTTGGCTATCTTAATCATCCATGTCTACCTTGAGACAGAACTGATCTTAGTCTTCCTCGGTGCCTTGCTCTCTACTTTTCTTGGTTGTGAAATTGAACCGGTCTTTAATGAGCCTTACTTAGCTACTTCTTTACAAGACTTTTGGAGCCGTAGATGGAACCTCATGGTCCCGGCCGTTCTCCGTCCAACCGTTCATATCCCGCTTCAGCGATTTTCCGCTCGCTTTCTCGGTCCAAACCAGGCTTTTCACGCTGGAGTCTTGGCCACGTTTCTTGTCTCCGGGTTAATGCATGAGCTGATTTACTTTTATATGATCCGTAAATCTCCAACTTGGGAAGTCACTTGTTTCTTTATGTTGCATGGGGTTGTAACTTCTGCGGAGATAGCGGCGAAGAGGATGCGGTTGTGTCCACCGCCGCATCGAGCAGTCTCGGGTCTTGCGGTTTCGGCCTTTGTGGTCATTACGGCCGCTTGGTTGTTTTACCCTCAAGTGCTGAGAAACGATGTGCATAAGAGAGTGATAAGTGAATGTTTGTTTGTTATTGACATTGTCAAATTGCAAGTTGTTCGCATTTTATCGTAAGGTTTATAATTTCAAGAACCGTTTCTTGTGATCCTCATCGTTATCATCGATAAAAAGTTTAGGCCATACACATGGAAGTAGAGACGTGGTAGAGCTGGGCCTAGATCGTCCACTTGGAACAATGAACTTTGTTGCGTTACAATTTTGGACTCCGATCTAAATATAAAATGTTTATTTTTGTTCAAATAGATATCTAGAACTTCCGTATATAAAAATAAAATAAAAAGATATCTAGAGCCCATGGTGATGAAGAGGTTTCCTCTCCTTTCAAACTGATTCCCAAAATCAAATGAAGATCTTTCTC